CGTTCGCATGGCACTTTTGTAGCCAGCATTGCAAGGTATTTACCATATGCCAGATATGCTAAATATTCATATGCCCCTTCATGCTTTGGCCACCATTCCAGAGGACGTGCTTCCATACTGATGATGCTTGTTTAAAAAAAAAAAATGTGTTAATTAACTTTGTGACTGAACTCCTTGGGGGAGAACTGTATGTCTTCGGCTCTGTTTTACCCACATTCTGCCATATATTTCATGTTATAGCCGTCTCAGATGATGACCCAGCACATGTTGTTCGTTTTAAGAACACTTTCACAGCAGATTTGACAAAACACAAAGAAGGTACCAATGTGAGATTTCTAAAGATAGCTACAGCACTCGATGTAAGAATCTGAAGTGCCTTCTAAAATCTGAGAGGGACAAGGTCTGGAGCATGTTTTCAGAAGTCTTAAAAGAGCAACACGCTGATGCAGAAACTACAGAACCTGAGCCACCAAAAAAAAAAATCAACCTTCTGCTGGTGGCATCTGACTCAGATGATGAAAATGAACATGCTTCGGTATGCACTGCTTTGGATCGTTATTGAGCAGAACCCATCATCAGCATGGATGCATGTCCTCTGGAATGGTGGTTAAAACATGAAGGGACATATGAATCTTTAGCGGATTTGGCACGTAAATATCTTGCAACGCTGGCTACAACAGTGCCACGTGAACGCCTGTTCTCACTCTCAGGTGACATTGTAAACAAGAAGCGGGCAGCATTATCTCCTGCAAATTGTAACCAAACTTGTTTGTCTTAGCAATTGGCTGAACAAGAAGTAGGACTGAGTGGACTTGTATGCTCTAAAGTTTTACATTGTTTTATTTTTGAATGCAGGTTTTTTTTGTACAGAATTCTATACTTGTAAATTCAAATTTCATGATAAAGAGATTGCACTACAGTACTTGTAGAAAGTGAATTGAAAAGTTTCTCTTCAAATTGTATAAACCTTTCTTTTATTTTTTACAGTGCAAATATTTATAAGAAAAATAAATATAAAGTGAGCACTGTACATTTTGTATTCTTTGTTGTAATTGAAACCAACCAATATATTTGAAAATGTGGAAAATATCCAACAATATTTATATAAATAGTATTATTGTTTAACAGCACGATTAATCATGATTAATTTTTTAATCGCTTGACAGCCCTAGTTTAAACTACTGTGAGCTTTAATTCTCCATTCCATCCAAGACATTGTGGAGAGGGGAGGACGTAGAGAGCTGGTGGCCATTCTCATTCAGGGCTGCCTGGCTCCAGTGCAAGTGCACCCTAATTTACACCAGTGGAGGACTGGGTAGAGTAGAGCTGTGCCATGCCCCTTCCCTGCCTTTGAAATGGCACTTCCTTTCTTCCCCTTAAGTGGGGGTGGGGCGTGGGTGACACAGGAGACAGCAAACAGTTCTGCTGCTCAGAAGGAATTCTCTATCCATTATCTGCAGCCAATTTAAGGCCACTTTGCATTGTTTATGCAGTGCAAACTGGCCTTAGCAGAATGGAGAATGCAGCTCGTGGTGTGTTCTTGCATTGGAACACTTCCACTGGTTTAACTTGCACAAGACAGAGAGACTGTGTACCGAATGCTCATTTATTGCTCAGTAATTCTGAAGTAACCTTCTTAGCTTCAGTGGAAGTACTCTTGATTTACACCTGTGCGAGTAGATTTGGTCCTCTATCTTTGAAGGGCTTATATCTAGAGAAGAAAATAAAATAGGTGAGGTAGATTAGCAATGAAATCTACTGGCCTTAATCTGGTAGGATGATAAGTAAATAGTGGCTATGACTGAGAACAGATTTTATGTAACCATTTAAAACAAACAAAAAACCCTCTAGCCTAGAAAACCTAAGGGCAAGGAAACCTGACAAGTAGCAGCAAGTGTAGAAGTTTGTATTAATCTGGCTTTAGCTCTTTCAGACTTCATCACTCATGCTCCATTCCACCTTTCTGAGAGCCTTGAATTAATATACTGTAGGAAAGAATAGGAAGTCTTACTGAACACATCCTATTAAGTGGACTACTACGTAGATCAGACTAAAGCCCTGATCCTACTGCCAGTAATAAAAATGGTAAAATTCCCATTGGCTTCACTGTTGCATGATGGAAGACTAAAATTCCCAAAGCATCCTGTCCCAGCACACACTATTTCTTTTGCAAAAAATTCTTTATGGCTACCTCAGCTTCAATCATTCCCAAACCCTGATCAAGAATTGGGAGGGGAATCTTTCCAGGACATTACAATATGCTTCTGTAACTTCACAAATGTTCTGCTTTTAGGGAGGGAAGCCAATAAAGGCTTATGCCAGACTAGAATCTAATGTCTTGCCCTGTCTCGTTAAATGAGGATGAGCCAAAAAAGAGAGAAAGCCAGTGACCTTATTTTGGAATGACTCTCTGGTAATCAAAACAGTCTTACTTATTGCCACATGTATTTCCTTCTTCATATGCATCTAGTCCACTCCAGTGTCTTGAGTCATGTTCTGACTTTTAGAACTTGGCTTAAACTTCCAGCTGTCTGGCTTAGTCAAGTCTAGTACTGTACATTCAGAGAAACCAGGATTTCACACACTACATATCATAAACTGGACACATATCTTGATGGAAAATTATATGGACACTCTCAAGAATCTACATCTCTCTCACAAAAAAGCCACTTAGAGGCAGCATCTATTATAGCCTAACACCTCTCTGTCCACAACAGTTTGCTCTCTGGGGACTATTTTGTGTCTCATCCTGCTCATAGTTGATCCACAATAACAGTCTCAGTATTGCTACTATCCTGATATTAGCACAGTGGGGAATAATTGCCAGAAAACCTTAGTGTAGTGAAGGCCATAAAGGGAAGACCAAATGTGAAAACTGTACCGCTCACATGGTGGATGTTCTTACGAAGGACACGGCTGATTACTTTTGACTGAACTTTTAAAGTCTCTTTTTTTAAATAAAAGTTACGAAACCTCATATGAAGAGAAATATTTTGTGTGTGTGGAGAGAGGTTAATTTTGCTGAAAAAACTTTTTGGGATAGGGGACACTTGGGAGGGAGATTCTCCTTCATTATTCTGAATCCAACCAAAGCATTGTGCTAGGCAACCACAACCATAAACAGAGTTTGACTACAAACAAAAAGTGAAACTAACTGGCCTTATTTCACTGTCCAAACTGACTTCCAAACCTTAAATAGGATAAATGGTAGAAAGTAAAGGCAGATTCATTACGGCACTTCCAGTTAACAGTCTGTGGCATTATAACACAGATAAGGCAATTTAAATCTTTGTTTTTAATCTTAACAGCACCCCTTTAAATACGTTATGTAAGTAGATATGATTCAGTTTGTATTTCCTTTGTGATATGATCGCTATAATGTCCTCTGTCCCATGTACACTCTTCCTTTGTAGGCTGATGGAAGTGAGCTATTTCACTGATATTTTCCTGGTACAATATTTTCTGAATAAACACACTTGGATCCAAATTAACTAAACAATAATAATGTTCATGGGCCTGATCCTCAGTTGCTATCAACTAAAATACACTTCCATGGAACTGCACTGATTTCCAGCAGCTGAGTATCTAGCCCTATGTTCTTAAAAGCACACACTGTAACTTCATGTTGCTCACACTTCAAACAAACAGCTACAATACATGGTACCTGTGGAGGCCAGCTTTATATTTTGCAAGGTCCCAAACTGTCACAGGAGGTAAATTAGGCCTTGCCTTCTGGTCCTATTGTCTGAAGTGTATATTAAGGTGACCTTAAAGTTGTCAAGTAAATGCAAGACTACAGCGCTACTCAAGGTAGCTTGTGCACCTCATATCACTTACCAGTCAGTACTTGTTTCTACAAATGCACCATTGTACTGCTCTAAGTACAAATGGTGCATCTTATGTAAACCTTCTGATGTCAAAATCCCAGACAATATTGAGAAAATCGAGCCTGGAATGAATAGATCAGTAGAAAAGGGGTGGGTGTGTCTAAACTTTTGTTTTCTACTGAGATTGTCACTTGCTGATGGGGGTTTGTTTCACTGGGCACACCAATGGAGTTGGCAGGTGAATTGGCCAGCAGCTCACTAAAGGGCTCAGTCATTCCCTGGGCGCTGAAGTGGGTGGGAGTTCTGTGACTCCCCTGAGCCTAATTTTTTTTAACTTGCTCATTCAAAGCTAATTTTAAGTGGAAGCAACAAGGAGGGATATTCTATGTAAAACAGACGCCAGCTGTTTCCTCTCCACCCTGCAGGAGGCCAAAATAGTGATGTTGTGAATAAAGTCAGTTGTTGCTTTATCCTCCTCAAAACAGGGCAAAACTGGGTCATCCAAAAAGTCACCCTGATCTGATTTGGTCCTTGCACTTCTCTTTAGAATCCTGTGAAAACTGCTGGGATATCACACAACTGGTTGTTAGCTCCACATCGCTTCCAAGGCACTTTCCTAGGGTGTGATCCTGTGAGTTGCTAAGCACCAGAAATCCCCACTGGAATCAATAGGCACTGCAGCACTCAATACTGCTCAGGACAAGTGCATTATTCTACCTGGGCTCTGACCTCCTTTTGTATAGGGAATTAAAAAATAATAATCAACATGTCGTAATCTGAGCAAGCTATGTAGGGACAAATTAAACAATGCTAGTCTATCTCTATCTCCACAGAAATCAATAGGAGTCTTGGCACTGACTTCAAACAGTAAGCCTGATCCCACTTCCATTGTTATACTTTTCCTTTTATTTGCAGAGCCTAGAGCATGAAAAATGGCGTGGAAAGCTAAATTAAAAATTAGGGGCCTGATGCTGATCTTTCTGACACCAGCTTTACACCCATATCACCCCACTGGCTTCTCTAACGCTCTGCATGATTCACGCTGGTATAGATAAAATCAGAGGAAGGCCCAGCTGTTTTTTGCATACACAAAGGCTCATTTTGAGAACACTGGACAGAATGAGGAAAAAGTCACCTGATCAAAGACAGGAGAAAAACAGACAACAAATATACCTGACTTCCCCACGCCGGCTCGACCAAAGATCGCCAGTTTCACTTCTGCACTTTTAGCCATGGTGGGAAAAGTGGAACGCCGGAGAATTCGCTGGATTACCCAAAATTGAGCAGACGGAAGGTTCCCAGGTCCCGTCTTCAGCTTCACCACGTCATTATGACTTCTGCACAGAACCTTAAAGCGGTGTAATACAGTGAGTAGGCAGAAATCAGTCTCTTCCTAAATATTTCTTTATTTAAACCATACGCTAATGTCCTCAAACAAGGAGGTAACAATACTGACACCTTTGGTGTTTGTCACCATTCATGTAGAATATATATCACATTAGTTTTCTAGCTCAGCTGTTGAGACATGCCCCTGTGACACTTTGTTGAACAAAGGTTCTTATTCAATAATCTTCAGCGGTCAGCTCATAATGCCATATAAGGTTCCCTCTTACTTTTTTTTTAAGCCAGCTGGGATAGCTTATATTAAGTTACTACTTTTGGCCAAACTAACTTTAATGAATTTTATTTTACAGAATATATTTAAAAACCATAAGTATTCATTAATCTATTTGCAGATAGTTGAACTCCCTTTCCCAAACCCTCAATTATTTCAAAGCCCCAATTACTCAGCAGCAGTTACTTAAAAGTCTTCAACAGTTCTAAATATTTGCACTTTGCCCATTCCAGTAAACAGAATCTTTACACAAAGTTCCTTGATGTTCTTTGGGTAAGATGACTCAGCTCAGACGTAAATATTCAGAAAAGCATAGGGCTAGAAAGGGACACTGAAGTTTCTCTTTATATATTTTTAAAGACCACATAAGAATGTTCCTACTACCTCTATTGCCCTGCTGTATGACCTTCAGCGTGTTATGTCACCTCGCTCTCTGCCTCAATTTTCCCATCTGTGAATTTAAGGATAACTAAATTTACTTTCCTCTGTAAAGTGCTTTGAGATCTATGGACAAAGGCACTATAGATGATTAGTATTGTACCAATACTACCATTTAGTGTGGATAATTCATCTCACCAATTACACCATAGTATAATTTTACTTCTGTACACAGCATGTTTCACAAAAAATACCAATCTCTGTTTGTTAGAAAGGTTTGCCCATATTTCTATAGAAAGACATAAGATTATTTTAATCATAAATATCAGATATATTAATTGCTACATTAGCATTACCCACACTAAAGCAATAACACATTTCAAGCAACTTTGTGAAATAAAATAATGTTTTATTAAATTTTCTCCAGAATACAATATGTTGCACAAATCTTGTCCAATGTACTTTATTTAGAGAAGGATATGAATATATTTTTGAAATCTCATTCTTCTGGTTTATTTTGCAGAGGAGTAAACGACAAGTCATATTCATCCCGTACAAGCATTTAGAAAGGCAAAATCTTTTATGAATTGTTTCATCTACCAGAAGAGAGACAGGACTTTAACTCCAAAAAATGCATATTTGCCTTCCAATTTCTAACCTAATAAAGTCACAGTGGCATGCTTTGTCAAAAGCGAGTCATGTAAAATCATCTGTAGCAAGATTTGTTTTTCTTACTCCAGTTCCGCTCATGGAAGAAAGGCATAAATATGATGCAGCCAATACATTCCTCTCACTTTCAGCTTTAGATAGGAAATGAAAAATGCTATAGTATGCTGGCAGAAGAAAGTACTTAAATCAATCTGTACTATATAATCCCTAGTTTTAATGGCTCTTGGGGTTTCTAATACACATAACTGCTGACAACCCTAAAAATTGTCTTGCAGCTTGGGCCAGATTCTCACCTGCTGTGAACTGGAGTAGCTCTGAAGTCAATGGAGCTATGTCAATTTACACTGAGACTCTGACCCTTACTGTTTAAAGAGATGGATGCTTATTTCTGGATGACTATAAGTGCACACTGTAAATTAGAGGGTTGCAAGTGTCCCTTTTCTATATTTACATGCCACCTTCCTCTAAAACACATGGGCTAGATGCCAATCTGGTCTATATCTGGAGTAACTCCATCAGTTTGATTTGTTCCTTATTTACACTACAGCAACTGAGTTGAGAATCTGAACCCCATATTTCTATATCGGAGCAAAAGAGAGAAAACAAGACAACGTGTTGCTATAAAACATACTCTCTCTAAGTAAAGATTGACATACTACTGGATGTACTCTGGCTCCAAAAGAAATCCAATATTCCTTTTCATACTCAAATGTCATTGAAAAAAGTATGAATGCTGGTTTGTCACCAAGAACGTCTTAAAAAAACTATGAGCAAAGATTCCCTTCTCAATCAGGCCCATGCATTAAAATAAAAAAGGTATATTTGGTTTAAGTCAACCACACAACTGCCATCCCCACTTTAATAAACAAATACTAGTTCACACATTAATTTCTCTTCCGATTTTCCGTAGGTCTCTGCCTCAGTGTCGTTATCACAGCAAAAGAGCTGAGAGGCATATAGAGCAACAGTGTGATCTAAGGGATACTTTGGTTCTCTCTAGTTTTCTGACCTTCAGCTGGCAAATGTTTGGCTTTCCATATGTGATGAGCACATCAAGATAGTCCCTGAAATAATTACAGATCGCTGCTCCAAGCCCACTGCTGTCACTGATGAAATAATACAGTGCAACAGGTAATATTTTGCTTTCCTAATGAAAGGGCTGAAGGAATCCTCCCCCACTGCTGGGCAGATAGACAAGCTCAGAATGTGCTTGCCACCTCGCTACTCTTGTTAAAATTAACAGCCAGGAGGGAACCCCAGAAGTAGAGGTGTCCCCCCTAATATCTTCCCAGGCAGAATCCGGAGATGATCCCAGGAAGCCCATCCTCTTCTAGCTCTGCCCGATTTGGGGAATCGCCGAAGCGATAACCCGGTAACAATTAAGGAGCTTGTTTGTTGCTCTTGGCAAAGCACAAAGATAGCGGCTGGCTTCGCCAGGGTCCCTCTCTTGCTGCAGTAGCCCCTGGCTATGTGCGCTCTAGCCCTATTCAGCCAGATGCCTCTTCGTGCATCAAACTCACCTCTCCGCACCAGTAAAGCAGCACGAGGGTGACTTGGGAGGGCGGGAATTCAGCCCCGGTCTTTGTTGCCGGCCGGCTCACCTAGCTGTGTGATCAGAGAAGGAAGCCGACCTCAGCCATCCTGGGTTGCCCGTAGTCTCCTTTCTCCTCCGGTCTAGTCCCTCTGCCGCAGAATGCGGAGCCTTCACACAGCCCCAGGACCAGCTCTCCGCGGCTGCCTTCTCCTACCGGCTACGGCAGGCGCAGGAAAGCTCTCTGGCGCCCCCTGCAGGGGCTCCGGCGCTAGGACGCGGAATGGGCTGCAGCGAGACCAGCATTGAAGGATAAGGGGTGTGTAAAAGGTTGTGAGCATGAAGTGTTTAATCTACAGCACAGGGGCAGGTGAAATGGAGACTTCCCCCTTCTAAATGTGTAGCATCGGCACCGTGCCTACACGATCAAATGAAACCAAGATGCTGGCTTGAGCGGAACAAGGCGTGGTGTGCAAGAAAATGTGCGAGGGGCTGGTTCATGGGCTGGTAGTGGGAACTGTGACTAAACGCCTAACCCAAGTGGGAGAACCACGAGGGAGGAAATGCCGTGAATGTCTGTACCGGCCAGAAATGGAAACTATAGAAAGGGTTTCTGCCTTAAAAGAAACTCAATCCAGAGACTTTAATGAATTTAAATGTATGCCAGGGCGAAAGCAGTAAACTTTAGTTCTCTGGGTTGAGCTTGCATCGAATGAAGTCAAATGGGAGTCTGATCATTGCCTTCAGTAGGACCAGGAACCAGACCTTAAGGAGAAAAGTTACAATCACTCCATGGGTTGCTAGATAAGGAATTTCAAGCTGTGTTCAAGTTTGGGCACACTAAGGTTCTGATTTACAGGACCATTGAGGTAAGTGGCAGCTGTGGGTTCTCAGTACCTCTGAAAATCAGACCCTATGTAATAACAAAGCTCTAGCATCCAGTGGTGTTGTCTACACTTTTTTCCTTTCAATCTGGCTAGGGACCACAACTATCCAATTAAAGAAAAAGAAGGCATGTTGCAGTAAGGGCTTACTTTCATAGAACCTGATCCTACAACTACTTACTACCAGGAGCAGTGTTTACTACCAGGAGTAGGCCCTGAAAATAAACATGTGACCTTGTAATCAAAGGGTGGACAATGGGGCTAACTCATGTTAGTAAAGTTAGTCATAAGTGTTTACAAGATCATTCCTAATGGGACTACTCACAGTAGTAAGTACAGCATCTGATAGTAAACGTTTGTAAATCTGGCCTGTAGTCCTTCTATGCTAAATCATATGACTTGATTTGCTGCATATTAGATATCTTGGGCCAAATTCCTGTCTGGTGTAGATCTGATGGAGTTAGACCAGGGAGGAATGTAGCCCCTTAGGTTTTAGCTGTGTCCAATTTAAGAATATCCAGAACACAGCCCTTCCTTACAAACTGAGACACTGAATTGTTTGTGACATTTGGCAAGTCACTTACCTTCTCTTAGGGCTGGTCCACACTACCCGCCCAATTCGGCGGGTAGAGATCGATCTTCTGGGATCGATTTATCGCGTCTCATCTGGACGCGATAGATCGATCCCAGAAGCGCTCCCCCGTCGACTGCGGAACTCCTGCTCGCCGAGAGGAGGAAGCGCTGTCGACGGGGGAGCCTGCCTGCGCCGCGTGGACCCGAAGTAGGTAAATTTAGTTTGATATAGGAAACGTCGACTTCAGCTACGCTATTCTCGTAGCTGAAGTTGCGTTTCCTATATCGATCCCCCGCCCCAGTGTGGACCAGCCCTTAGTCTCTGTTTTCCCCCACTGTTAAATGAAGATAATGACACCTGCTAAGAGTGTTTGTTTTTCTAAGGTGCAAGACATGAAGGTCAGTCAGTGGTAGGGTTGAACTCACAATCTCCCAGCCCTGTACTTACTCCACTAGAAGACCACCTGGCTTTGGTGTAGGCGGGAAAACTACACCATGGTTGTCATCCTCCTCCTCCTGTGTCCAGGGTGAATTTTTTGCACACATGAAAAAAGGGCTTTTGAGATTTCACCCACTCAGTTATGAATAATCCAGTCCCTCCACGTTTTGCAAAGGTCAACATTCCAGGGGTTAAAAGAAAAGAAAAAACTCTTACAAAATGAACTAAGAAATGTAACCCAAAGTTTCTGGATGTTTGTTTTTTCACCCGTTTCGTTCAGCACCGTTCACAAGCATTCATCTGTGCCTTGTCAAGTTCTAGAAACGTGGAATAGTGAGGGAACTAGCTTTTGCCTGCCCTCTCTAGCCTAAGAATAAAACAGTGTTAAGGCTGCTACAGCCACCTTCTTTCCTGGGCTGTAAACAATATCTAGTTGTTATGTAATTTTCCTCTATCAATCCCAAAGTATTTTACAAAGGAGGTAAGTGTCATTCATCTTATGTGTTACAGAGGGGAAACTGAGGCAAAGGGGCTTATTCAAGGCCATCTTTCAGGCTAGGGCCAGAGCTAGGAATAGAATCCAGGTCTCTAAATCTTAAGACAAAGGTTCTATCCACTGGATCACATCTATCTCCCTTTTTACTGACTTGTCCATTGATACAGGGATACCTTAGTAACAGCTGTAAACCAGAGGTAAAAGGTCCTCAAAGATCAGTGGGTGTTGCTCCTGTGTTCTGGTTCCAACTCATCTCTAATGCAAATAAGTGAGATAAAATGGCAGTAAAGGCAATCATCCCCCTCTTCTTAGTGAGCAGAAGTTAAATACAAATTAACTTCACATTCAACTCTTCCACAATGATTCAAGTCTCTCTCATGTAGAATAATAAGAGCACACTAGAGAATTAGGAGGCCGAGGCTTGCAGGGCCTAATCCTGAGAGGGACTGAGCACCCACAACTCTGCTGTGTTCAATGGAAGCAGCAGACACGCAGCTCCTTCTCAGGATCAGCTCTTAAAATAGCTTGGCTGCTTATCGTACAAAGGCAGATAATTCAAAGGCAGATTTTAAAGCTGTGTTGCAGTTTATATTTTACTTGTTAAAAATAACTGCTGAGGCTTTAAACCTTCTCTCAATGTTTGGTTTACATAATTTAGATAAACTGGCTTTTCCATTCTCCTGTGCGAGTAACTGGTGCGTTTCTGTTTTACATATGGGGACGTACGTGTCAGTTTCAAGGGCTGGCATTTGGGTTCTGCGTCTGTGGAATTCACGCTGCAGGGGGGTCATTGAGTTAGATGCTATGGCAGGATTGACAAACCAATGGGTAATTTCTTGACCACCAAAACCTTTTTGTAGCAGTGCAAGCTACAGTAGTAAGGGTAATTAAATCTCATGCTCCTGGTCATAAACTGATCACTGTGGGGAACAGGAAGGAATTTCTTTCATTCATGAACAACCCTGCATAGACTATATTCAAGATGAGCAGGAGTCCTTCTTCCCTTGCCATCATCAGAGGGTAGAGGTATAGGCCAATGCCGGAAACAGGAAGCCAGGCTTACTGTACCAGTAATCTGATCCAGCATGACTTATCCTGTGTTTGACTGTGGGTGAAATCCTGACCCCACTGAAATCAGTGGGAGCTTTACCATTGATTTCACCTTTGGTGCAGGTCTCCTTGCTCCCCTTGGCAGGTAACATTGCACTTAAATGCTTTTGAAAATAGGATTTAGGCTCCTATGTCACCTAATCTATAGCTCCAGCCAGGCAAGCAATCCCAGAATCAAAGCCACATATAAACCCAGGCATAAAGGTTTTGGGTGAGGACAATAGGAGGACATGGGCTAAACCCCAGGTAAGACCCCAGGGTGATCCTCCAGTGAAGACATAGCCACAGGTGTATCCAACATGTTACCCAAAATGTATAGCTAGTGGAAGGAAAAATAGTAGTTACAGCATGAGGGGAAAATTGGGACTTGGAATTATCAGTTGCAATGGAGCATTGATGAGTGCACTTTTTGGGAACAGATGTTTAAAGAAGCACTGGTTAGAAACAGGTATTTAGCAGCCAAGCCTTCATCTGGGCTCTGAATACGGAAATTGTGGCCATGGAGATGTTCCCAATGGTAGGGGGAGGAGCAGAGACTCAAACTCAACCTCTTCAGTGCAGAACGATTTATTGGTATAAACAGACAGAGGAACAGGAATTAAAGCAATAAATAAAGACTCACACAAATATTTACTATTGTTGCCTGTGATCATCCTAGTGCTAGAGACAGTAGCTGGGAACGCTGCTTCCTCTTAGATGCTCATTCTTCTCCAGCATCAGTGATCTTATTTATGGCTTCATTGCTCTGAGGGGTGATTCTAGGCCCCATATAAGGGCTGAGCTTTTAGTGAACTCATAGCTGCAGGTATGGTGCAGGTGCTGTAGGAGCTATATTTTTCTCCCAAGAGAACCTCCCCATAGGTGAGTACAAACCTAGAGCAACAATCCTGACCTGTTTATAAGACGCTCATCAGAAGCAGCTACCCTGAATCAGCCTATATCAGCAGTACGGAATTTCCATGGTTCACCAGAAACCTCCATGGTCTGCTCTTCCACCCACTTATTAAACAGAGAGCAGCAGTGTCCCTAAAAGCGAACACTGGCCCAGACTCTCTACAGCTATACAAACCCCAAGGCAACGCTAACCTCAGCCTCAGTATAAATTAAAGGGCTCTCTTCCCAACAGCTGCAGTTGATGTAAATAGCCCTGAATGACTCTATCACAATTTCAGTGCCATTCAATAACACTTTATTGCTATGACAAGCTATACAAGTGATGCCAAAGTCCAATGTATTTTTCCTCTGCCCGTCTGGATGATGGTATGTGTGTACAGGGCCTTAGCTATCATTTCTATTTTCTTATTGTTTTCTTGAGGTATTTCCCCATTTGAAATAGGCAAACCAGAGGCTCTTGCTTCATGAATTGTGCAGATGGGGGGAGGGATAGCTCAGTGGTTTGAGCATTGGCCTGCTAAACCCAGCATTGTGAGTTCAATCCTTGAAGGGGCCATTTAGGGATATGAGGCAAAAATCTGTTGGATGATTTAATTGGGTATTGGTCCTACTTTGAGCAGGGGGTTGGACTAGATGATCTCCTGAGGTCCCTTCCAACCCTGATATTCTATGATTTAGTGTGATGCTGCCCACCTGAGGGCAACACTTAAGGCAGGATGTATAAATTGCACAGGATTGCTAGTGAGTTAGTATTTTTAAAGCAGGAG